GGCTTTACCATTAGAATGAAGCAGAGGGACCCCAATTTCCACGCCTTGCTAACTAAGCTGTTATGCTCCCTTTATACTTGAATGTATGTTTTGAAAGTATGTATTAGAATTGGCCATGCTCTAGTCCAAACAAATGTTTATAAACCTGCAAGGAGGGGGGTAATAGCTTATGCTTCTTTAGTATGGGGTAAAAATTAGGAGTAGGAAATGGTGGTAACAACAATAGAGGGAGAAGAGTAGGAAGCTGCCCCATGCTGTGTGCTTACTGCTTCTGCTGTTAAGGCCAGCTTCCAAGCCTCAAATCGATGACACAGAGCCCGGCAGTCTTTCAGCAATAGCAGAAACAGGCCAAGCAGCTGTCCAGGTGCATGAGTGTTCACAAAATCCGGACCTGGCAATTAGCCAGGATATAGTGGAGTCAGATGTAGAAGAGCCAGGAAGAGCAGCAACTGGAAGAGAGGATAGGTATATTTATTAAAATGTTTATATTCCACCTCTCCTCTTGGTTCAAATGGGCTTACAATAATAGTTAAAAACATTTTAATTTTTAAAACCAAGCAGATTCCCTCCCAGGGGGCACTTCACCCCTTCCTTCCTGATGGCTGGGGAAAGCTGTGGTCAGCATACAGGAGAGGTGAAGTGTCGCTGGTGTTTCCATGGCCAGCAGAAAGGAAGGGGTGAAGTGCCACTGAGGGGATTAAATGGCTTGGTGTCATCCATTCCCCTGCTTTGAAGGGTTAATCGGAGGGTTAAATTGCTGGGAACCATTTAAACTTAACAGCTAAGCAGCAGGGTCCACTGCTCAGCTGTTATGTTTAAATGGCTGCCAGTCATTTAAACTCTCCTGATCTGCTCCCCACTGCTTTGAGAGGGAGGGAGCAGAACTAGATAATTTAAATGGCTTGGAGCCATTTAAACCCCTGCTTCCTGCTCCACACTGCTTTCATAGGTAGCAGAAAGCAGGGGTTTAAACTTTAAATGGCTCACAAACCTCTATGAACCTGTTTGGTGTGGTTTGTGAACTGGCATATTGGTTTGTGGTTTGGCTCATGGTTCAGCCACGAACCACAAACCAAAGTGCAAAAATGCAGTTCATACCCATCCCTAGATTGGCCTTCATGGGGGGGGGGTCCTATTTTCCTGCATGCCTGGGGATTTCCCTCTTTCATGTACCTGATACCATTGTGCTACTGTCCTTACTTGCATGGGAATCAATTACTTTCCTTGAAATAATATGATGTTTTGTTACAGATGGATTTTAGAAAGTATCTGTCCTTTTGATTTTAAGCATACAATCATCAGAGGCTTGATAATTTTGCATATGTCTTTTGGGTGCAGTGTTTTTTATGCTGCCTTCACTTTTAGGGGATTTTAAAATTATATTGGGAAATGGACTAAGTGCTTATACTTTATTATAAAATGCAAGTTATGAATAAAATGTGAAAAACTGTATATAGAATTGCAGCCATAAGAATTAGAGTAATATTTCAGAATGGCAAAATGTGTATATTCCATGCACATGAAGAGTATGATTGATTTGGGGGGGGGGTAATCTATTTTTAGTTTTGGATACAGTGAATAAATTTCAAGCCGGCTGCACTCATCCAAATAGTCTCAGGGTAATTCAGGGCTTCTTCTCTCTGTGCTATCTTTAGTGTATTTTCCATGATAATTTGAATTGTTACCAGAGTTTTAACATTCAGTGAAGGGGGTAATTTTCAGTCAGCCAAAAACCTGGTTATAAAAAGCAGTCTCTCTTCCATTTTACAGTGCCATCAAGGTCTAAAATACTTTATTTTATCTATAGTTAGCTTTGTGTGAAATACTGTCTTCTAACAGGCTGCCTATAAAGATGGAATATACAAATTTATTGCTTTATATTGAAGTTTATTATGACAACCATTAATACTGACTCTGTGTTTGTTTGGTTGCAAAGCGTATATTCGATCAAATCAGATTATGGGCTGGGGAGAAAAGGCTATTGAGATACGTTCAGTGGAAACAGGACATCTCGATGGTGTATTTATGCACAAAAGGGCACAAAGACTCAAGTTTCTGTGTGAACGTAATGACAAGGTAGAGTATGCTTTTGAAACCTCTTTGTGTTTATTGTTGGAAAGCAGGAGATAGTGAGCATTGCTGCCACCCAAAATGTATCCCACCCAATCCAGCAGCCCCACTGTTCAGGAGAAAAGTCACTGATGCACGCAGGGGCTGCTCCATTCTATTTATTGACAGAAGACCAGAAAAGTGTTTGTTGGTCTCCAAGATACCTTTTCACATGGTCTTTTATCATTGATCCCAAATGGTAGCATTCTGATAGATCCCAGTTGCTTTTCATGTAGGTGATCTACCACATTTTCATTGGTAAATCAATATTTCTCTCTTTCTCTTGTTTGTTTCACAGGTTTTCTTTGCCTCTGTACGGTCTGGGGGAAGCAGTCAAGTTTATTTCATGACCTTAGGGAGGACTTCTCTTCTGAGCTGGTAGAAGTTAATGCATTTTTGGCAAAGGATTGCTGACATCCGGAGTCTTCATAACTTGGAATCATTTGCAACTGGAGTACAGACCTGCCGTGATGCAGTGCCACATGCAAATGCGTGTTCAGGCATCACTGGTGTTGGGTTCTTTTTGTTTTAAAACTGAGGCCGTAATATGCGGCTGGTGCTGTAAAGATATTGCCATCAGGTGCTATCAGATTTGGGATCCCACTAGAGAAAGAATCAGGTCTCCTCCCCCCCTCCCTCCCTCCTTCCCCAGCTGCAGAATTCCTAAGGAGAAAAGGAAGAGACTGATAAAAACATGTTTTTGAAAGGAGGGCAGGCATGAGAAGGTGGCTGGAAGTGATGTAGGCAGAAGTCGGACTTCACCACTAAGCCAAACGGGCACCAAAGAGAATGGGAAAGTCGCTGTTGCTGACTCAGAGGGCAGATTTAATATAGTAATATTAACAATGTATTTAATTGACATTTCTCTCTTTTTCTTTTTGTAATGTGACAATATGTGGACAAAGGAAGGTGCAGGTTTTAAAATATTTATAAAATGTGAAAAGGCACAGTGGTTTTAGGGGAGGTAGGGTGATTCCCCCCCCCTTTTTTTTTATGTTGGCCAGGCCAAGAGTTTAGTCGTGTTTTTTTCTGCATACCAAGTTTTGCCTAAATACCATATGAGGATGGTTTTTTTAAAAAATAAATAAATAGAATTGAGAAGAAAAAAAACCCAAAGAGAATGGGAGGCGTGGACTGCCAAAAAACATCAATATTCCTCCTCCTCCCGAGTGTCTGCCCCGCGAGCGCCGCCGCCGCCGCCACCCTCTCTAATGCAGCTGGACAGGGCTGCTCGCGAGGAAATCTGCGCAGGGCTGCCTTGCGGGGTGGGTGGGAGGAATCTGCAGCACTGGAAGGGTTAAAGGCGAGCGAGCCGCATTGGCTGGAGAGGCCGAGCCAGGGCGGGGGAGGGAACTGTTCTTTCCGGGGCGGGGGCTGCAGATCTGCGACGGGAGGGGGAGAGAAGCCTTTTGCAGCCGGACCCCCGGGCAGGTTTGCGCCCAAGTAAGTCGCTGCGGGGCGGATGAGCCTTTCAGTCCTGCTGGGGGGGAGAGGGGGCAGCGCTGCCACCGCCTGCTTTTGGGAAGAGGAGTTTGGTCTTCCACGATTCCGAAAGGCGACCAACCGGGGAGGCTTTAAAAGCTGCCTGTTCCCGGAACAGCCCTCCCAGACACACAACCGGAGCCTGCTCGGGGGGCTTTAGGGGACGATCTTCCTCGACCCGGGAGGCAAAAGGAAAGGCCGTGCCTCCCGGGGGCTCCTCCTCCTCCTCCGGGCCCCCTCGCCTGCCCTCTTGCTGGAGGCATGGCGATGGAGGGTGAGGGTGGGGGTGGGGGTGTCAAATCCTTCCTCCCCCCCCCCTTTCATCTCCTTTCCCAGCCTTTGTGTTTGGTAAGAAAGGGAGCGCTGCGACATATTTCCGTTCCCTTCCCCGCCCCCAATTTGCACAAAAGGATCAAAGTTCTTCTGTCTGTTTCTCTCCCGGGCAGGCTTGGAAACATCGACATCTCTTTCTGGGTCTTGTCCTTTTTGGCATAGACGGGAAACAGAGACACCCCCCCCCCTTTCAAACACAGTTATTTTCTCTATATAATCCCTGTATAATCATTCTCTTAGCCTTTGCCGGTTTCCAGCTCTCCCATTGGCTGTGCAATGTGCTCCCATCATCAATGTTCCCTCTAAGGTGTGGGGCCTTGTGAGCAAAAATTCTACTTTGTGGGCTACTGGCATTAAAGTTGTGAGTGAGCGGTTTGGCTACTGCATAGATTAGTTTGCTCTGGAGCCACATCCTCCCTGAGCTAAGACACAAATGTGTGACCCAGAGGCTAAAAAACTATGAGCTAGCTCACACTAACTCAGCTTAGAGGGAACACTGCCCATCATCCATTGGCCCGTCAGCCGCCACTCAAGGGTACTGGCGTGCCATTGGCCGGGAGCTGGGTCTGCTCCTCTTCCCCGCCCACTCCCACTTCAGCCCCTGTTCCTTGCCAGAAAAACTGGCAAGTGGCTCTCTCTCCTGAGGAAGAGGCTTCTGCTTGGCTCCAGTCACAGACTTTCAGCATATCCCCTCCCCCCAGGTTGGCCACTTTCCTGTGGCACCACTCTCCTCTCCCTCTACCACTCTCCTTACAGGACTGCAGTCAAAGGAAACGTGTAAAGAAACACACACACACACTGAAACATGAAATCCTTACACGGACACTATGCACCCTACTCAGGTAGGGGAAGGCTTGTCTTGGAGAGACTCAGGGAGCCATTTTTTGGAGGGGGGGTCCTCCTTTGCCGCAAGGCTGAGGAAAGGGGGGGGTGCTAGGAAGAATACAAAGCTCACCTTTTGGTGTTTAGGAGGCCCAGAAAACAGGCCAAGGTGGGGACAAAGGTGATCACTGTTGATTCGGTGGCCCAAATGTTCCCCCACCACCACCACCTACCGTCTCCCTGATGAAGGGATGCCAATGTCCAGGAAGAGTCTGGAGATTCTCCCAAATTACAACCGAGATGCGTTTGTGTTCAGAAAACGGCTACTTTGGAGGGTGGACTCTGTGCCATTATACCGCTCCCTCCACAGGCTCCAGCCCCAGATTTCCGGGAATTGCCAACCTTGTGCATTCAGCAGAGTTTGTGGTCTCCTCCGGCTCCCCTTAATCGTAGCAGCTCTGTAAAGCTTAGGCCTCGCTTGTCATGGAATGTTGTCTAGCCCAGAGATGGCGAACCTTTTAGAGGCCGAGTGCCCAAACTGCGACCCAAAACCCACTTATTCATCACAAAGTGCCAACACGGCAATTTAACCTGAATACTGAGGTTTTCCTTTAGAAAAAAACAACTCATGCATTAAGTTAAGATGATCCAAACAAAGTAAGGAAAGCAATCCCAAATGCTTTCATCTACTTAAAATTATTTGGCAGAGAATTCAACACTTTAATGATGGTCTGGGCCTGGCTGGGGCGATGGCACGCGTGCCCACAGAGAGGGCTCTGAGTGCCGCCTCTGGCCCCCGTGCCATACGTTTGCCACCACTGGTCTAGCCAGACTCAGGCTCTGTTGCCTTAGGGGTCAACTGCTTTCTCAGAAGTGCTCATTCCACTGGTTTCATGTACATGCTGCTTATCTTCTTTGGTAGGAAGGGGGGAAGTGGATGTGTGTGTGAATGTCTGCTTACGCTTGAATAGTGCCAGCTTGGAGCAGTCTGCAAGACCTCAGGAATCGTATTGTCTCAGCGTCCACCATGACCTCGTTATGCAGGGAATGTCTAGATCAGGGGTGGCCACACTTGCTTAACGTAAGAGCCACACAGAATAAACGTCAGATGTTTGAGAGCCGCAAGACAGGAACAAATATCACACACACTGTTTTCTTGGAAAATATGCAAATTTGATTTTGATTAACATTAAATTAGACTGTGTGAAAGAGCCGCATGTGGCTCCCGATCTGAAGTTTGGCCACCCCTGGTGGAGATAATGTAACCGTTAGTTGCAGGTGCTGGGGGTGGCCATAGGAGCAGGTTTGGGTCTTTGGCGGGCTGAGTGAGAATATTGATTGGGTAGTCTGGCCTAGGGAGAATGTCTTGCTTGTAGCATAGGGTCGGTCCTGGCACCTGGATGTTATTCTGCATACCAAGTTTTGCCTAAATACCACATGAGGATGGTTTTTTTAAAAAAATAAATAAATAGAATTGTTAATTTTTCTGTACTGACTTTTCATTTGGCCAGAACTTGGTGATGTCAGTGTTAGCGCTGTCTCAGTTAAAGGTTTAATTTTTGTTTAAACCTAAAATAAAATATGTGAACTTTCACTACCAGTCTGCTCATGCAGCATTTCGGGAAGAAAAGTCCAGACATGGGTTTTTATTTTTATTTTTTGTGTGTGTTCCTACCTCATCGTTTCTAATGCATATAATTAAAGAGGTGGTTTAGGGTTATACTTTATTTCTTTATTTTAAAAACAACAACAACAGGTAAACAGAGTACTAACGTGCAGTTAATCGTTGTACCAAAACTAACATATGAAAGGTTTGACTGTTAATTTTCTCT